TCTATCTATCTATCTATCTATCTATCTATCTATCTATCTATCTATCTGTGTGTGTATCCATCTCTCTCTATACACATATATGTGTGTATATATATGTATATATATAAAATCTATATATGTGTATGTATAATCTCTCTCTTTATATATAGTACTGGCCATTCATCATCACAAGTCTGAGCCATTACTGATTCCCTTTCAGCCTGCCCTGGCTGTTGGCATTATAGCTCTTGAGTAAGAATGTCCTGAACCCACTGTCTCCAGGACGACAGCCATTGTCTCATCTCAAGCCCAGTTTCCTAGACTTCCTGGCTGTGTTCCTCCTGTTCCCTCCTGGCTCTCTGTGATCTGGCCCCAGCAACGTCAAGGGTGGATTTGAAGATGCAGACAGACTTTGCTCATGCTTTGTTTTGCAACTCTATTGTCTGCCAAGATTTCCCTGTAATAACCAAACCACACCTCAAGTCACCACTGACTGATCTCTACCCTTGATGATCTTTTGTTTGTTCCTACTGCCCTGCTCCCTCCTCAAGCGGCTTCCTGATGGAAATCCTCTCAGGGATGTTCTTTCCCAACCCTTCACTCTCTACATTGTCTCTCCCTCACATTTAACTTTACAAACTCATTTCCACAGGAAAGTTTTCCTTGACACTAGAGACTTACAGCTACTAACTAGTTTTTCAGAACTCTATAGTTCTTCCTTAAAAGAATAAGAACTGGGTGTGCTGGCTAACACTTGTAATCCTAGCACTGCCTAGGACGAGGCAGGAGGACTAGTGTGAGTTTGACGAGGCAGGAGGATTAGTGTGAGTTTGTACTCTTTACAACACGAGTCAGTTTTTCAGCTCTGCAGAATGCTGAAGAACCATGGAATAACTGGATATGGTGTTCAGTCCTCGGTTTCCGCAGGAACATGGAGGTTGTCATCCTAATTACACATCTTGTCTACTTAGCTGAGTATTCTGGATGCTCCAGGACTTTCTAGTCCAACTTCAAAGGGAGGTTGTCTGTAACTCTTCTTCCACTAGTGGCTTTCTTACTCATTTTTTCCCATGAGTTTCACATCATTGCATCTGTTGCCAGGGCTGCTCTTCCAATCTTCAGATGTGCAAATATATATTCTCTTCTTAGTGAGTCAGGACTGGCTTCATTGTTTCTAACTCGCATTACTCAAAAACAAAGGTGTAGAGAGACAATTGAAGGGTATACAATAAACAAGAGATTGAATCCTGGATTTGAATAGCAAATCCCTCCAAGCCTCAGTACTTTTACCTCTAAATTGCAAGGATATAAATATCTTATTAGTTTGTTTTCTCATTGCGCTAATCAAATACCTGACAAGAAGTAACTTAATGGAGAAGGGTTTATTTTGAAAGGATACAGCCTTTCACAGCAGGGAAGACCTGGCAGCAGGAACGTGTCCCCAATCAAGACACAGAGAAAATAGGAAGTGATGTCTGACTATCAGGCCCCGAAGTCTGTTTCTAATGATCTACTTGTTTTCCAGTCAGGTCTGTCCTCTAAGGTTTCCACACACTTCTGAAACAGTATTACCACTTGTTTCGGGTGAAGGCTTAAACATGGACCTATGATTGACATTTTACATTCAAACCACAACCCCTGCCTTCTGACCTAACTGTTATGAGACAATGTGGTTCGATGAATATGAGAATTGGTTTTTACAAACATTAGCGTGAGCATTTGCTTCCATTTCCAGCCTACAATGTGGAGATGTAGAGCAGTGTTTTCTGAGAACAACCATTACCATGAGCCATTACTATCGTCACTGTCACTGTGACCACTTGTGAGTGACCCTCCAGTTCATGCCTGTTGACATTCCCTCATAGAAAGGGATAGGGAGTCGGGGGACCCTCACCTGAGATCTCCATCAGTCCTTGTTACACTTCCCTGACATCAGTCAGTGATTCTGCCCATCACACATCCTTTTGTGGGCTCAGAAGGTGCTAGAACATACAGAAGCTGAAGCTTACCTGTACATCTATGACAAAGCCACATATTCAAGAGAAACTTCTTTGTGATGTGTTTGCACGACCGTAACTCCTTACTCAGGCTCTGTCAGTAGTGTAATAAACGCATTGGCTGGACAAGTGGGACATTGGGGGAGACACATTTTGATCTGCTATTGGAGCCCTATGGTGTGAGTAGACATTATTCGTCTCTACCTGGGCAAAGTGCAGATGACAGTAGATCTGGAGTGCATGTCATTTCAGTGCCATGCCTGTTCCAGTTCTAGATTAGACCGGAATTCTTTCAGCTCAACCTTTCTAAAAATCAGGGCTTGGGACACATCTTGACAGTGGCATTTGGCTTTGCATTTCCAACCACTAGAATCACTTCCATTTGGTGAGTCTTAATTTCTGAAGTACCCCTTATACCCACTTACTTAGCATTTTAGGTGTGACCCACCAATGCCTAATCAAAATTTAATAGGAGGCAGGTTAAGCATCTCAGAGATTTTGCTGAGAGTTCATTGCTATAAATAGCAAGAAGGAAATATTCATAAAACTGGCACAGTAAGAGTTCGCCCATTTGTTTTTTATTGCTAGCCTATTTTACATAAATGGAGTCTGCAGACTTAACAAATAAGGTGCAAGATCTGCCCCTTGTGTTTCATTTGTCCACTCTGATACAGGACTGCACTGATCTCCTGTATTCAACAACAACAAAATATGCACTGTTTCTTTTTCTACAGAGTTTTCCATGCGAGTTAAGGATGTTATCATAGCATAAGAGATCCATGGTGCAAGAGATGGAAAGGACAGTTACCAGGTGATGATATAATACATTCTTATAACTACTGTAACTAAACAACAATTTAATTATTTTATAGTTATGGACATTAAAATCTGAGATCAAAGTCCAGACAGGGTGAGTTTCTGAAGGAGAATCTGTACCTAGGCTGTGACGATAGCCAGTCACTCTTGTCTTGCAGGCACTTCTGTTCTGCGTATGTTTCCACACAGCCTTTCTTTTGTATGCCACTTGTAAGAATGCTGGCCATATGAGGTGAGTCCCACTATCATGAGTTCATCTTCATTAGCATTCTGTTGTTTAGGCAGTGAAGCCACAGTAGACCAACTATCCCCAAAACAGCTCTTCCCCACGTAACCTCATATTACAAAAGAAGGAGCAGAAGTACGTTTGCATATCCTGATCATCTGTCAGGATGGAATGGATCTACCTGTATTAGATATCTTAATGTCAAAAGGACCAAGTAATCACATCCTGAGTCAGGACATGTAGCTATGCTTGTCAACCATTTTGAGCAACCTCTAAACTCTCTGACCATCAGACAAGGTGGTGATAGGTTCACATTTTTGGGCCCCCAATTATTCTGGTTCTCTGTGTCCTGATTCATGAGACATAGGCATTCTACTGACTGAGCCATCTTCCCAGCCCCCCTGTACTTCTTCCAGTTCTTTCATTTGCTGCTAAGAGATTTGGGGTTAGGTGCCATCCACAGAGCCACTGCTTTCCTCCTAGGTTCTTTAGATTCAGGGCAGCTTCCCCAAGGTTGGATGTTGCCCAGGAAAGAGATTGGCCTTACTCCATGAGAAGATGAAGATTTCCCTTCTTTCCACACAGTATGCTGTTCCTTAGAAGAGGGACCTTTATAAAAGATGAACAGTAATATCTTAGTTTTTTATCATCATTGAGATTCATATACAGTACAGAGCAAGAGTTAGGCAGTCAGTGCAGAAAATGCATCTGAGTGCTGGAGCTGGTCATATGCCCCATCTGTTGTCTGCAGCAGCCACCAGGAAGGCTTCTGAAGCTTTGGTTCTTCAGAAATCGTGGTGAATCCCACTTGGCCCCCACTCTCTAGAACACCTAATGCCTTTTCACTTTTGACAGGTTCTCTGAGCTTTCCCGATTCTGGAAATTGTTTACTTATAATAAGTTTTAGCTATCCTGTGAAATAATGGTTTTTGTTGTGACATTTTCATATATTAATGTGGTTTGAATGTGAAATGTCCCCAGTAGGCTCATATGGGGTTTCTGTTTGGGAATGTTATAGAACCCT